AATAGCCATATTTATAGGCTAGAGGATTCTGACCTGGTATCGCAGCTATTCTCAGTATAGCAGTTTCTGTTGACCCAGATCATGAAATACATACAATTTCCATAAATCTTGCCATTTTCCTTTCTAACACAGCAGTAACCCTAATGAACTTCAGAGCTACTTAAAAAAAACCCTATGATCTGAAGCAGTAATCTTTGCCTTCATCATGTTAGTCACTAATTCTATGAGTTAGCTCTGGTCACCTTTATAAAATGTAATTAAACATTTGAATGCCAGTGTTGCCACCTCTAATTATAAACAGCAGAAGTGATTGTGACAATGGTGACACTATGGAGAACATTACTGTCTGCTAGATCTCCCAATGCATGGAAAGCATTAATAACAACAATTGACATTTATAAAGTGTCTTAATACAACCCTCCCAAAATACCTGACAGGAAAATGCAAGCACAGATATCGCAAGGCTGACTTCACTCAACACAGAAAAACTAATCACTACAACTGCAGTCCCTTATACACATACCAGGACGTAAGACCTATACATTCCATCTTACTTCTGAGTAGACACAAATAGGATTGCATTGCTAATCATTGAAAAGTAGCAACTTTCAAGACTGTATTTTACAGTAGCACACTGAAATGGAAGAAAAGATAAAAGGAACAGAACTGCATGAAAGAATTTTAGTTAGGTCTGCCATGGTCTCCCCTATTAAAAATGCCATGAAATTCTTCCACAGACAAAAACTGTTGTGCAAACAATTCATTTTTTAACCAGAATACTTCCCTCAGTTATTTATTATTAAAACAATGGTTATCTAATGGCACCCCAAAATACTACTATGGTAAAATAACTTTAAGTAAATTTTAATTTATTGTTCATCTCTACAAACACAGAAAACACAATCTACCTCCTTATTTACAAGTTATATGAGGCAGAGACTTGTCTGTTGTCTTTAATATTCCATGAAGAGCTCTGCCCACCAATTACGTGTTAAATAGAAATAAAAATCCCTGTGTTATTTAATCCTAGTACTAGAAAACACTCTATGCCTCTACCTTGCTTATACAAAGTTCCTTCCTATCAGCATTTCTGTGATTATCTTGCAGATTAAAACTGTAGAGGCTAATACAGGATGAGGAGACAACTATACACTTCAGCATTAATTTTAGGATCTAGACAACATCAGGTAATTACAATAATTTATAATTATAATTATAGATTAATATAATTATATAAATATAATTATAATTATAATTTATTATTGTTAATTATTATTGTAAATTGCCTGAACACCTACTTATGCATAGTATATGTTAATTTTAGGTTGTCCAGTAAGCCACAAATATTTTATTTCTGTTCTTCAGCTAACATTGCAGCCAACCTCCTACTACATACAAAAGGTATAATGATCACCCTGTTTAATCCTGTCTCTGACTTCAGAAACTCTGCAGATCTCAGGCCTTTTATATACAAAATGTTTTAGCATTACTTCATGGAACAGACATGGAAAATCTAAGAAATATGGTAACCACGTGATTCCAGTTCCAACAAAATGTTTCCATAGCATTGTTCTAGAAGAAATTCTTCCCTAATTACAATCTAGGGAAGATGTTACATCAGAATTGCTCTTAATCTTATGTCACACCATATTGATTTTACAGATCTAGCTCAGTATATACGTATAAATAACAGTAAGATATCTAGTCTAGTAAGGGCACCTGTTTTCCAATGTTACCCACAAGGACAGCATTCAATCAAGGAGTCAAGGCTGTAACTTTTTCAATTTATCTGCATCTCCAACTCTCACCGTGCCTGAAACTGAGGAAGTGCTAGGTGGAACAGAAGCATTTGGTCCTGATGCATAACCTGTTGTTGACATATGGGCATGTGCTTACCAAATCATTAATAATGGCAAGCGGCTTTGTCTGTCATGCTGCCATTCATCTTCCTCACATGACTTAGAGTTTGTACATAATTCAGCTACCAGATCTTGCATTTTGTGACAATGCTGCCTATCTTACAAACGTCATTGCTTTCCAAGGCAGAAAGACAGTCATCATTCTAGGCCAACTGCATTTGCTATACTTAGTGACAGCTATCGTCTATCAAATCCCATCTATTTTGTTAACTGTAATGACTACTGCTAGTCCTTGTGCAGCTACCACAGGACCATTGCATTAATCTCCCATGCAAGCAAAGCAATGTCCAAAGTGTTGCAACAAAGAATACTGCCCTACACAGACTGAGAAATGCCAGACGTTGAAGCTGGGTTCCAAAAAGGAAGAGGCACTACAGATCATATTGCAAATATATCTTGGCTACTGGACTACCCCAAATACTTTCAGACAAAGATCAGGCTATGCTTTGTAGACTATACCAAAGCCTTCGACTATGTGAATCATGAGAAGCTATGGATGGTCCTGAAAGAAATGGGTGTGCCTCAGCATCTGATTGTCCTGATGCGTAACCTGTATCAAGGGCAAGAAGCTATAGTTAGGACAGAGTATGGGGAAACAGAATTGTTTTACTAGGCAAAGGTGTCACACAAGGATGTATTTTATTCATTTTATTAGATTTATATCCCACTTTTTTTCTTACAACAAACTCAAAGCAGCTTACACCTCCCCTTGCTCTCAATCCTCACAACAACCCTGTGAGGTAGGTTGGGCTAAAAGTCTGTGACAGGCCCAAAGTTGCCCAGTTGGCTCCATGGCTGAGCAGGGACTAGAACCCAGATGGTGTGAGTCCCAGTCCCAAGCTCTTAACCACTACAGCACACTGGCTCTTTCCTTATTTTATCTCCCTATTTTTTTCTCCCTATCTGTTCAATCTGTATGCAGAACATAAGGAGAGCTGGATTAGAATCAGGGGAAGGAGTGAAAATTGGCAAAAGAAACATCACTAATTTAAGGTAAGCAGATGATACCATTCCACTGGCAGAAAGCAGCAATGACTTGAAATGACTCTGGATAAGGTGAAAGAAGAACGTAAAAAAGCAGGATTACAACTGAATATTAAGAAAATAGAAGTCATGTCAACAGAAGAATTACAGAATTTTATTGTTAATAATGAAGATGTTGAAAATGTGAAAGATTTCAGAAATCTTAGCTCAGTTATCAATTCAAAGAGAGAATGCAGCCAGGTAATCTGAAGAAGAAGGAAACTTGGAAGGGCAGCAATGAAGGAACTGGAAAAGATCATCAAGTGAAAGGACTTTTTACTGGAGACCATGGTCAAGATAATCCAAACTACTGCATTCCCAATCACAGTGTATGGAAATGAAACCTGGACAGTGAAGAAAGCTGGCCAAAAGAAAACTGATGAATTGAAAACATGGTGCTGAAGGTGCACTTTGGGAATACCCTGGACAAACCAAAAGACAAATGAGTGGGTCATAGATCAAACCAACCCTAGAAGCAAAAGTAACAAAACTGAGGTTGTCATACTTCAGACACATCATGAGAACATATGACTCACTGGAAGAGACAATCATATTAGGAAAAAATTAAGGCAGACAATGAAAGGGAAGAATATATATAAGTTGGATTGAATCCATAAAGGAAGCCACAGTCTTGAACTTGGAAGAGCTGAATGGAACTGCCATGGACAGGACATTTTGGAGGGCTTTCATTCACAGGGTTCCTGTAACCTGGAGATGTCTTGATGGTGCATAACAAAGGACTATTGCTAGCCGATCATGACTAGTGAATAGTCTGCAACTCAAGACAAAAAGGAAAGCATACACAAACATATGTAAATAGTACCATACTATGCACGTGCACACACTTGTTACTTTCATCTGGGAAAAGGGGTGAAAAAAAGATGACTATGAAATCATGGAACAGAAAGAGCCCCAGTGGATCATTTAGATGTCCACCCATTAACCCCCAAGAGTTATTTGCTCCAATTTAAATGCCAAGAATGACAACAATCTCCTTAGGCAATACACTGGTCCACCTGGCCAGGCTTCACATACTGGAAACGCATTTCCGCCAAGATTTGCCAAGATTTACGTAGAAAAAGGCTAGATCTCTGCATTCCCTGCAGTTATTGCCATAGGCTCACAGGGATGACTACTGGACCAGAAGTAGATTATACAATCTGCAGATTATACAATCAAGGAGTGGGAGGAGGTTGCTTTAACCTTGTCTGCATTCCAGTGACTCTGCAGCAACAGGGCAGGGGAGGTCCCTGACAGCAATGCTGTCCCTCAAAGTCTAATTCCTCTCCCCACACCATCCCATGACCCAACTGGCAGTACCACGAGTGGCACAGAAATAGGAACCCCAGTTCTTCAATTGTAGCAGGGGCCATGCAACAGGCCTACGCTGCATCAAGCATAACACTTAAGGTTGCTTACAGAATGGAATCATGCTACACAGTAACAGACAACATACAATCAATGACAGTATGAAAATAACCATGTGTTGACCAATGATGACCATTTACAAATGGCAACTTACCACTGTGTAGACAGACAGACAGACAGACAGACAGACAGATGCGGGTTGTCTAACATCATCCCGCCGATATAAAATTCTACGGCTTTGCTCACTTTTTAACCAGGTGTAAAATCGGTAAAGCAAAACAACCGACTAATTTAACCCTGTTGCACTCCACAGTATATTTACCACTTCGCAAACAGTCATCGAAATTCACTCTTTGTAGCTGGAGAGTGCCGGAAGGTGCAGGATTCCCCCCCGCCCCGCCCAATCTATATCTGAGCAGGATTCCACCCTAAAAGCTTTACGCCCATTTATTTCTCCGAGGGACGTAGTGTGCAAGTTTAGACAGGAAAAAAAAGCCCTCCAACTCCCGGAACACTAGCTGAGGCATGCTGGGAGTTAGTTTTTTCCTGTCTAAAATGCACAGAATTGCGCCCTAAATTGCAAAACAAAACTGGGGGAGACAGCGGCCTCCGAGAAAAGGAGCGCGGGTTTCCCCGGCGCTGTCTACCCCTTTTTCTTTGCACGACCCAAACGAAAAAGACGAGGCTAACCAGACAAGCCACTTTAAACTCGCTCGCGCGGGCCTCCCAGTACGTCCCGCAGAGAGACCATGCAGGACCGCACGGCCGCCCCTCGGCTCTCTTCGCTTCCAGGCCCCTCACCCTGCGAGCTCCCTCTTCCGTGGCCGCCGATCTCTCCGCTCCTCCTCCCCCCCCCCCCCCCCCCGCAGGCTGGCTTTGGTGCCCTGCCAAGAGACGCCTTTCCTCGGGCCCTTCCACGCTGTCTCCTGCCCGGGCCATGCCCGAGTGGCGCGTGCTGTCGCTTTAAGTCCCCAGGCCGGAACCTGCCCTTAGCGGGGGAGATAAGCCCGGCTGGGAGTGGCGGTGTCCTCCCGCTATTCATTGGTCTAGCGATTGCAAAGTATAAGAGGCCTCTGTGCGAGAAGGCGCTCAGAAAAGAAGCCAAACGGGCAGACTCGGCCTTGCTCGTATGCAACCGGTGTTATGCACGATGGCTCACGTTGCGTAATTTGGGTAAAGATTGCTGTGCAGCTCTCTCTCACACTCACATCCCAACCCTTTCTGTGTTTACTCAGAAGTAAGCCCCAGTCATCTCGAAGAGGCTTACTCCTAATCAAGGATTTCCGCCTGCCTTTTTAACAAGAACGATTGAACGCTGCCGTCCTCCTCTTCTGCCTTATTCATGTTGCCCCATTGCGTTCCCTGGGGCTTATCCGCAGGCACAGGAATACAGCCTTAATGCGTATGTTCCTGGTAGCAAATACATCTGGCAAGGATGATATATGGAACGGACTTATTAGAGGTTCCGTTTCAGAGGTGCATCGTGCTGTTGGGCAATGCCTTATTTTAAAGAATAAAATACTTTGTTTCCTAGGGGACATAGTCGGTGCCTCTTAATTTCTATAGCTCCAGTGGAAGCGCCTTATTTCAGACAAGGCAGTTCGAAAGCCACTTTGCTCAGATGGCTTTCCATTAAGTGCTAATGAGGGAAGCACGGGGAGGCACAAACCTACCTACCTGTGAAGAATAATAGCTACCTTCAGCCTGGCTCTATAGGGCTGAAATGGAAGCAAAATTTTATTTTTATATTGCATATCAGAGCAAAGGCTTCCAAAGTGGCGTAAGTGGTTAAGTGGCTTAACATCTCAGAAATATCTTTGATTTCAAGGTCTGTTGACTGAGCTCCTCCTGTTTTTTGACAACTTTTGTTCTGATTGTAGCATCCTGAACTTGATAGCTGGAAGCATATACATGTCTCCAACACCCTCTAAATCAGGGGTCTCAAACTCAACTTACCTGGGGGCTGCTAGAAGTAGAGTCTGGGTGAGGCTGGGCCGTATCAAGTATTCCACCACCGCGGTGGTGGTGGGCCGCTCATCCCGCGTCGCTCCCGGAGGCTGGCCCGGGCACCGCCGGCACTTTGAAGGCCGCAGGGCCCCTCGCCCATGTCCCGCCCGTCCCGGCAATTGGCCCACGGGCCGCGAGTTTGAGACCCCTGCTCTAAATTACTTCCACACTGCAATCCAAATTAGTTCCTCCCTTGCTAAATGTGGAGGCTCTCTTGGGAGGTTTTGTGCCATCGGAAAGCAATTGCTCCCTCACAAATATGGAATGTGTTACTCCTGTGAGCCTTGCAATTACAACTACCCTTAGCAACCATCCAGAGTCTATTGGGTAATTTTTAAATGTGCTTTCACATTTCATGAAATTAAATCAGCAACTATATCATATTCTACATGGCAATCATATTTGCCACAGCTACAGGTCCAGCCTCTCTTGCAGTGAACAGAAGTCCCAAGACATTCAGGGACATTCCCACAAACCCTAATAGATTAGAGATATCTGAGGGGATACTAAATATTAGACATTTATGTCTGGTATGCACATTTTATAAGTCTACTGTCAGAAATTCCAGTGTGCTCAGTGAATTTGTTGTGAAGGAGCCAGTTTGAAATTAGCCTTTAGTTCCTGGGTCCTGAAAAGTTCTGGAGAGATTTTGATCAGGCAAGTTAATAAAAATATTACGAATATCATTGCAATTTCTGATTTAAGGCATCCAAAATTAGTTTGCAAAAGGGCTTGTGTTTAGCTGCACTTTCTCAACATGTGCAAATCCAGTACAATATAAATGAGTGCTTTTCAGGCATAATGTGCAAACATGGTACATTCTTTTTCTTATATGGAAATAACATTTGTCTGTGTGTGGGGTGGGTGGGGAGAATGATGTATGTCAAGCAATCCTTACTTCCATTATGTGTTTAGGACTGGAATGGTTCGGACTGAAAATACCAAAGTCACACAAAGGTGGTCATATTAGGCCAGCTGTTGGTGCAGCTATAGGGATACTCCCACAAATTCTTCCTTAGCCAAACAGAAGTATTTATGTTTAACAATTGATAATGTAAGTAGCAGTATAGTTATAGAAGCAAGGGTAGGCAACTGCCCCTCGAAGTAGATATATTTGCAATTCCCATCCCTCTATGCCTTGCCCCACTAATTGATGACACACTGGCAGCTGCTGAACAGTTTTGCACTTTGCCTTTCCATATATCCCTCCATCCTAAACTATGTATGGCAGGCAGAGCTTCCTTTCTCAGAAGAAACTGGCTGCTTCAATATTTATTCCCTCCTTCCACATATATTTTTCTCATAGCGTTTACCCTATGCAATACATGTAGTAAAGTGAAGAGGAAAGGTTAGGTCTGATGTGTTTGCACCAAATGCCAAAGAATGATGAACAAGCAAATTCTAATGAAAATAAATATTAACTCCTGGTGAATGAATTACTGTTGTGCTCAAGTTCCTGAAACTAAGGTGGGAATCCACATACCTCTAACCTCCACAAATCGTATGCACAACTTTAAAGACATTGGTTGGGTTTGCACATCACAAGAAACCATGATGATTTCTTATGCTTATTAGTCTGTCATGTCAGCTGAACTCAGTCATGATATTTCTGTGTGATACTTTTAGTTTCCCAAAACCAACCATGGTCTGCTTTTACTGCAGCTTCTCTGGTTGTGAGATTCAGAACTCCGTTAGACAGGATTTGAGTAGGTACAAGCAGTTTATTCCATACAAAAAGCATTTGCAAAGGCTGGCTCAATGTCTCAGTAGTCTGAGAAACAAAGAGCAATTATTTCAAACATCAATGAGATTATATACATTCCTTTTCCCGATGTTCAACACTATCCCCACTTTGCCATTGGCTGGTTACTAAGAAGTCACAATCTTTCCCATCTGCCTATATCATACTACTCCTTAATATGTTCCCCCCTCCCGCTCATACATCCCACGTTCATGCTAATGAGCCCATTACCTAGGAGAGGTGTGTCAGTTACTATTCATAAGCCTATTAAGTGTGTGCAGTACCTTTTAAAAGTTCAACAGGCCGGAGCGGCCCTGCAAATTCTGACTTGACGCCAACTTGCTTCTTAAATCTTGTGGGAGGACGAGATAGGAAGAACAACCCTTCTTCCAAGCTCATTCCAGTTTCTGTTCAGTTGGATACGTGCCTGTATACTTAGCAGCAAATGGTGTCTTACTATGAAATAGCTGTGCCTTTGCTTGTTTTTTTTTTCTTTTTAAAAAGATACTATTCTTGCTCTATTTCTCACACTGGTCATCCAGACTTGGCATCTGGTATGGAAACACCATGGAGTCCTGTGGAAAGGGCAGCCACTCTTACTCAGGCATCGGTCTCTACTAGCCTTGGCACCCTAGCAACATGTACCTGTCACCTGCTTTATTCCTATTGGCTAAGTGAAGTGTCCATCTCCCTGTTTCCTTTCAGAAACAAGAAGAAAGCAAGAAAAAAGGGGGGGGGGAATCTTAGCAAAAGTGTTTATTATATTTAATTTAAAACATCTTTTGGTGGCTCGCAGTGGCTAGGAAGCATGGCAGAGATGCAGGTACACCTCAAAACCTCTGTGGAGCCATCAAGATGAGTCCGCCGATGTCCACCGGGAGCCATAGCCTAAGGAAAGAGATGTCACTTGTGAGTGCTGCCAGGATGTGCAGCAGGAGCTCAGAGTAGGGAGTGCACAAACCACATTATCATGGGATCTATGCAGTAAATTACTAGTAAGTTCTTACTAGTAAGTTCAGGCAAGAATCCACACATCATGGGAACAACACAGGACTGTTTGCTATGATGAACGAACTGAAGTCATTTATTTATACTTACATTAGACCTACTGAAATCTATAATGCTTTAACTTAGGCCATGACTAAGCCCCAGTGATTCCAATGAGTCAAGTCTTCCAAGCGAATCGCGATACAGCCCACTTAGAAACAATAGGAAGTCCAAGGATTAGAAAAAACAAGCTACAGTATTTGTTTCTGCAGTTTACATAAAGAACATCTTTGTGGTACTACATCTAGATCCATATCCCAAGTCAAAGTTGATGTAATATGCTCAAGATGTTGTCACACGACAAATAAAAACCATAAAATAAATATATAATACTGCTGATGCTGCAGTAGTATCTACTTTTAATATGTCATGTTGTTAAAAGTGGGACATGTGGATCTGAAATTAGTTAGATCAATTGAAACTCACATTTCTCAAGATGGTGTCCTAAGTTTATGCTAAATTTAATTTTAATTATTCCAGGGAACTCATGTGAGGCCTTTATAATATTGTGCATTGTCCTTATCTAACTTGATCCAGCGAGACAGGCAGTTAAGATTTCATTAACACAGCAAGTTTGCTCTGGGATTGCAGGAAGGAGGGGAGCAGAGCTTTAGATGCTCATTTAATACAGGCTAAACTTGGTTGGGTTTTTGGTAAGTATGTTAGAAGTATCTACTTCCAGCAGCATGCCTTCAAAGCAATCCATTCAGTGCTATTTCTTAATAAGATTGTTAGCAGAAAAGCCTCTTCCCCAGCCATTCTCATAGTGTCTATATTTTTGTCTTCAGACAAGTTCGTTGGTATGAAACTCTTCTCCATGGATAGGGTAGGACAGTGTAAAGTTATAAAGAATTATTCTGGGATACCTATGACTTCACTAAATTTGTGGATACAGATATCCATTGCCAAGTAGTTATTTTACTATGGTATCTGCATAAGCAGATGCTAACCTGCATTGCCCTATCAAGAGTTTTGTGGGGAATCTCTTACATCATCCTGGCTTACTTACCATCCCCTGATAAGTAATCCAGGAAACCAGCACTGTCATCT